TCGAAGAAAGCCGAAGACACCTCACCCAAGGTAATCTGACCCTAGGAGAGGGCATTGGTGACGAGGACAAACATCAGAGGGGCCTGAGAAGAGAGAACAAGTGGTGCAATCATTGTAACAAGAGAGGGCACACCAGAGATGAATGTTGGAAACTACATGAAAACCAACCCAAGGGAAGAAACGAGAAGATAGAAAGAGCCACCACACCTCATCGAAAGAGGTGACGATGGAGACCAGTTGACCAGAGAAGAGCTTCAAATGCTTCGTAAGATACTTGAAAAACAAAACAAGTCAAAATCTGTTCCCAACGTGAACTTGATACAGTCAGGTAACTCCATTATAGCCCTTAATGCAATGGTAACTAGTGATGAGACTTGGATTATTGACTCCGGTGCTACCGATCACATGACTGGTAATAAGTCCTTCTTCAAATCCCTCAAATATTGCCATGAGAACCTTAGGATAAAAGTAGCAACTGGACTATATACGAAAGTTGAGGGTGTTGGCATTGTGGCTCTATCTGAAGATCTGGAAATCCATAATGTTTTGTTTGTCCCTGCTCTTACTTGCAATCTTATTTCTGTGAGCAAATTAACTAAAGGGGACGTATGTCGGGTGATCTTTGATGATGTTAAATGTGTTTTTAAGGATTTGACCTCGGGGAGGAAGATTTTGACTGCTAAAGAATGGGATGGACTGTACTACTTTGAAGGAAAGGATATGAAGATAGCAGGAGCAAAGAAAGCTATGGTTAGCTCCAATTCTCAGAATAAAAATGTAATGTTGTGGCATCTAAGATTAGGCCACCCCAGCTTTGATTATATGAAGCATGTGTTTCCAACTTTATTCAATAAAAATTCTTCTCCTTTCCAATGCGAAACGTGCCAAATTGCAAAACAAACTCGCGCCTCTTATCCCAAACATACTTACAAACCTACTGCCCCGTTCACAATGATCCATACCAATATTTGGGGACCTGCCAAAACCAACACCCGAACAGGCACAAGGTGGTTTATCACATTCATAGATGATCACACCGGGTCACATGGGTTTACCTTATGAAAGAGAAATCCGAAGCCTTACAAATTTTCAAAAACTTTTGCTCGTTTGTGAGAACCCAATTCCAAACTCCCATCAAAGTTTTGAGAAGTGACAATGCCAAAGAATACGTGAGTGGAGCCTTTAGGGAATTTCTTAAGCAGGAAGGAATCCATCACCAAACCTCATGTGTCTATACCCCCAACAAAATGGAATTGCTGAGCGAAAGAATAGACATCTTTTGGAAGTAACTCGAGCTATTATGATGGAAAGAAACGTTCCGAATATGTTTTGGGGAGATGCTGTACTGACCGCAGCTTACCTTATCAATCGCATGGCCTCCAAAATCCTCCATTTCAGTACCCCTATTCAGAAATTCCTCGAGACTTACCCCACCTCACCTATCATCAATTCCATTCCCCAAAAGATCTTTGGGTGTGTTGTCTTTGTTCATAAACATGATGGAGGCAAACTAGGTGCTAGAGCAGAAAAATGTATTTTCCTCGGGTATTCCTCCACCCAAAAAGGGTATAAGTGTTATAGTCCTACTACCAGAAAACTCATCATCTCCAAAGATACCGTCTTTTACAAGGATGACGCTTACTACCCCAAATTACCCATTCAGGGGGAGCACTGTGGAGTAGAATGGCTAATTACACCTGAACCTATAACCACCTCCAACCTACCTCTTAACCCCCTTGAATCTTCCACACCTCAAGAAGAAATCCCCGAACCGGAATCACAAACCCTAGTCCTACACCTTCTCCAAAACACCAAAACACCACAAACACTCCTCACCCAATGGAAACCAATGCTGAAATTGATGCAGGGGTGACAGAGCACTCAAGTTCTCAATCAGGTAGTAGGGTTCCTTCCATTTCAAGGCAGCAACATGATTCCAATCCGGAGTTGGATCCTGAAGAGCTGGGATGGCCTATTGCACTCAGAAAGGGGGTAAGATCGTGTACTCAGCATCCTATTCAAAAATTTGTCTCCTATGGCAATTTATCTGCGTGAATGCAAACCTTTGTAGTGAATAGTTCACAGGTGAAGATTCCAGAAACATTTCAACAGGCTATGACAGATCCTAATTGGAAACATGCTGCATATGAGGAGTTAAGAGCCTTGAAGGAAAACAACACGTGGGATATTACCACACTTCCTAAGGGCAAGAAAGCAGTGGGCTGTAGGTGGATCTTCACCCCTAAATTCAATCCTGATGGAAGCATCAACAAGTACAAAGGAAGATTAGTGGCTAAAGGGTACACTCAAACCTATGGGATTGATTATCAAGAAACGTTTGCTCCTGTGGCAAAATTCAACACCATCCAGGTACTCCTATCCCTTGCTGCTAACCTTGACTGGTCTCTACATCAGCTAGACGTGAAGAATGCTTTCCTAAATGGAGATTTGGAGGAGGAAGTATACATGGAAATTCCAGATGGAGTAATAGCTCCACCCAACTCAGTTTGCAAATTAAAGAAATCATTGTATGGCTTGAAACAGTCTCCACGAGCTTGGTTCGACAGGTTTGCCAAAGCAATCAAAAGGTTTGGTTACATTCAAGGACAAGCTGATCACACTCTTTTCGTCAAACACAGTGATGGAAAGGTAACGATCCTAATTGTGTATGTGGATGATATAGTCATAACTGGCAATGATGAGGTTTCTATCTCCCATCTCAAGAAAGCCCTGGCTCGGGAATTCCAAGTGAAGGACCTAGGACAAATGAAGTACTTTCTTGGAATGGAAGTTGCTAGATCCAAAAAGGGTATAAGTGTGTCTCAACGAAAGTACACACTTGACTTACTCCACGAAACAGGAATACTTGGGGCTAAGCCTAGTGAGACTCCTATGGAAGAGTCATGCAATCTGGAAGTGAAACCAAACGGGACACCAGTTAACTCAGAAAGGTACAGAAGACTTGTGGGTAAACTGATCTACTTGACTCATACAAGGCCTGACATTAGCTATGCAGTTGGAGTGGTAAGCCAATTTATGCATCAACCCCAGGAAGAACACATGGAAGCAGTATACAGAATCCTCACCTACCTCAAACTCAATCTTGGAAGAGGAATATTCTTTCGAAAGGGGAATACAAGGAGCGTAGAGGTCTACACTGATGTAGATCACGGGAGAGCTGTGGATAACAGGAGATCAGTCACAGGATACTGCACTTATGTTTGGGGAAACCTAGTCACTTGGCGAAGCAAGAAACAAACAGTAGTCTCAAGGAGCAGTGCTGAAGCTGAGCTAAGAGCTGTAGCCCACGGGGTATGTGAAGGAATGTGGGTGATTAGACTCCTAAAGGAATTGAGAATTTCCTATGAAGGACCTATGAATCTCTGGTGTGATAATCAAGCCAGCATTGAAATGACCAAAAATCCTGTGTATCACGACCGAACAAAACATGTTGACATTGATCGGCACTTCATCAAAGAAAAGGTCGAAGATGGCACCATTAACTTGAACTATGTGCATTCAACTGATCAGATTGCTGACATCATGACCAAGCCATTAGCCAGAGTCAAGTTTGAAGGGCTTCGGAGCAAGCTGGGAATGGTTGACATTTACTCTCCAGCTTGAGGGGGAGTGTTAGAAGCCGTGATCCTCTCCCCCATCTTCTCCCTTGATTTACTCTATTAATTACCTAGAATAAGTTCCTGATTTCTTGTGATATTGCATTATTACTGATTGATTGTAATCTCTTTGCATTATTATTATTGATTGTAACCGGATTGCACTCTCCCATCCGGACTCTATAAATTGTACTCAGATCATATGAAATAAGATATATGAGTGAATTTACATACTCCACAAATAAGCTTGAGCCAAAAATATGACACACTGGTCTATGCTCTAGAAGAGGGAAAAAATTTAAAATGCAAAACATCTATAATATCATGACTGACATTTGCACATAACCAGGAGCTAAGATAAGGGAGATTTGATTGAGATTTTGACCTCATTTGGAGACTAATTAGAGAAATGATGCAAGATTTGGGGGTGTTTCCAGATCTGCTCGTGCTAAATATTTTCTCAATTTATGCTCCTTTATTAGCACCGCTGTTCATTTATTGAGCAAGATGCCTTGTGCAGAAGGCAAATCAAACTCAATTCCTGATTCCGCCCACACTTCCAAGCTTTTAAATTTATGTTTATTCAGCCTAAAATGTTGTTCTTGTTTCACTCACAGTGCTCCAGTATTCCTGTGTCACCACATTCTAAGCCTCTTAACTTGATATTTTTCTGTCACACACTTGCTCCAAAAAGCAGAAATTAACAATCATTGACTGACTGTTTGGAAATATGATTAATTTGACCTAGTTAAAGTCCATTTTCTAGTCACTGTTATTGGTTAGGAAGGACATTTCCTACAGTTTTGTCCAGATAATCAGGGTCTCAATCATGTCATTGTTTTCGGTGAGCACCCAATTTGTAACATTGAATAGTTGAACTAATTACATCATTCTACCCTGTTTTCATTGGTGGATATCATCGGATAAGAATCAACCCCAGCCCAATGTCGCGTCCAAATCTCATTCCAGCTATTACCAATTTTTGTCTTACCATTTGGCCTTACCAACACTCATCAACATTTCAGGTCATGATGAATAATGTACCTTGTAGTTGCTTGTAAGTACAGACTTCATGTTGTAGAGTCTGCCCTAGCTGATCTTCGTAAATGTTTCAGCATTCTGTTTTCTTTCCTGTGCCTTTTTTTCCTTCATTTGGCCAAACGGAATTCATACATAGCAGTGATTCCATTACTTATTGTTTTTGTACTACCATGTAATTGAGTTGTCAAATGAGGGTGAGGGCTGATTACTGATTTGGCTGCCTGTTTGTTTAAGAACCAGCCTGGTTACTGATTTGACATTATCCTTGATAAGTTTTTATTTGTAGTTCTGGTCATATAGAAACTGGATTTGGGTTATGAATATTAGTTTTTGTGCGTGTAGATATGTTGTGAGGGCTAAGGCAGGGAAAAAACAGTCAACAAAAGATGCTACTGGTAGGGCTGCCCATTCTGCAGGGGCTTCACTCCGCCGCCACAATGAACTTGCATTAAGGAAGGTATTCTAATCAAAGCTATATTGTTCTGAATGTCAATTGTGGATTTCTATGTCAGTGAATGGTTTTTGTGCAATTTCGTGTCTCAGATTGGGCTGATATAGCGAACATGTGCTAGATTGAGACTGTAAAGAATATATCAGCCATGTTGCACTAGATTGAGATTGTAAAGAATATATCAGTGAATAATATGTGTATGTGCTTTTTCCCCCTAATTTGAAGTTTTCATCTTAATGATGACTAGTGGGAAACTCGGGGTTTGTAAGGTCAATGACTCTGTCAATAGCTGAGGGCCCCCCCCCCCTTTTTAAGGGCAATTAAATTTGTATCAAGTCTTTTTCCTATGTCAAAAAAGCAATTTATGTTTGTGTATTTAACCAAATGGAGAATTCATCCCTCTATGAATGCCAACTCAAAGTGACTTGTGATTTAAGTAGCACTCACATTTAGTCCATTGAGTTGTTAGCACTCGTGTCATTTGTATGGTTATTGATTTGCAATTAGGTTAATGAATTAAGAACCTTGTTGCTATATCTCATAATTTGATTTTGATTGATCCTACTAGTCATAAATTTTAACAAAACGTTTTTCCCTGTGAAAAGAATTATTCTTCCCATTTAGTTCACGGTTTTCCTCCCTTGAACACAGATGTTAATGCGCAAGGATGTTTACTTTCTTTTTCCATTTACGTTTTCCCTTTGTTTATTTTTGTTTGCTTGCTTGCTTGCATTTACTCATTTGTTCTTGTGCAAAATAAGTTTAGGCTTGACTCACTATTGCTGAGCCAACCTTTTCAGGAAATTCAAGAGCTGCTTACTGGTTGGAGAGCTTATTTTGATGCTTCGAATTGCATATTCGTACATGATCCATCAAGTAGTCGTCAATTGCTCTTTGATGGAGAGAGACCGTATTTTAGTAACCAGCATAATGTTACTAGAAGCATTCCATTGACTGTCCGAAGGCCTACTTTGAGAGAAGCAAAGCGTGTGTATAGCCAGTTGACTCAAGTATCCTATGAGGTAGAAGAGGATTTAGGGTCAACTCCCATTACTGTGAGAAATGCCAACCCAGCCGTTGACAAAGAAGCATTTACTAACTCAGATAGCCAGGATAAAAGTGAGGCTTGTTCAAGTAAACAAGATGATAGTGAACTCCTTATTTCAAGTGCGAGTGAGAGCGAAAATGGGATAATGGGTAAATCAACTCCTTTGCATCAAGCTGTGCAATCTGGTGACTCTCACAAGGTTCTGAAGTTACTGGAACAGGGCATAGATCCTTGCATTAAAGATGAAAGAGGAAGGACCCCTTATATGTTGGCGCATGATAAAGAAGTGCGGAATACTTTCAGAAGGTTCATGGCATCAAACCCTGAAAAATGGGATTGGCGTGCAGCAAAAGTGCCTAGTGCATTGACCAAAGAAATGGAAGAATCACAAGCAGCCAAGCAGGTGATTTGCATGTAAATCTGGTCTAGCTCAATGGATTTTCAAATCTGATTTATTTACAAAAGCAGTACTTTCATATGATCTACTTTGTTCATTTACTTTGGTTTACTGGTGGATTATTTTTCTTCTTGTTACTTTGGTTGTGTAATGGATACATTTTTGATGAGCCTCAGTTATTAAAGATTATATAGCAGGAAGAAAACAGATAAAACAGAAGAGAATGATAGAGTGGTTACTGATGAGTTTGTCATGGGATGGGGCTGTTAGAAAGATTTAGATGACGCTGCAGTGAGGACAATGATAAGGAGAACACCAGAAAGTTTTGGAGAGATTCTGCCTCTTGAATGTAGGAATCCCATTTTCATTGTTAACATATTGTTTTCCCTTTACTTTTATCTTTTAAGCACCCCTCTACTCCAGTGTTGCTGTATAGTTGGTTTATCCACAAAATTCAATAAAACAGCTTCGTGACAATATTGTGGCAGAGAGAATATATGAGAAGAGTAGTTCATGATGGAAACAAGTGAATTTGATTGCAAGTCCTTCTGTCATATTAGAGAAGTTTGTTTGAGAACAAGTTCTGTTGGATCACTAGAGTTCATACATATCTGTTATCAGATTTTGCTTGTATACCTTAACGTTGCCGCAGGTAGCAACATCCAACCAGTGATTGTTGGTTCTTCTTATGTTCAGTCTTTTGCCTGTTGCGAAGACAAAAAATCAAGGCAAGATAGTTTTTCATATTAAATCAAGCAAGTTTGAAGGAACACAAGATAGTCAGGATACTAATCATATTGACCATTGCTAGACAGGCTGAAGTACAGCTTGTTGACTAGTTGAACAGTTGAAGTTTGAATTGATTGTAGCCCTCATTTACTTTGGAGTAATGCATAGCCAAGCATGTGAATATTTTGTTTATGCAACCTGGCATTTTTGTAGCCAAATTTACAACAAAAATTTTGTTTTCAGAAAATGTTTTTTTGCTTTGATAATTTATTGGAGTCAATGAGATCTGTTTCGTGATTTCAGGTTTAATGGTCAAACTAACAACTTTCATGACACAATAATGATGCCCGTTTTTGCCTGTGCAGGCTGAAAAGGATGCCAAGAGAAAAGCCAGAGCAAAAGAATTAAAAAAATTACGTAAAGCAAAAGAAAAAAGGGCTCAGGTACATCTTTGCTGGTTTCCGTCTCAAAATGGATCTGGCCTGTCTTATCTATTACCCTTATGTTAGATACACTAACAATGACTTCATTAACACGGTTTATCTTAAAGTTTGAGATTTGAGATTCTATGTGGTGGAATTGAAATAGTTGGTTTTGGTGAGAACAATGTGCAGAAAGGTTGGTTGCAGAAACTTAATTCTTCATTCAGATTGCACAGTCATTTAAATAGATATAAATCTCTCAATCATATGAGAGTGATAGACCGAGATTCTAGTCTACAAACCAGGAAAAAGAATTAAAAAAGAAAAGTCCAATAAAATCGGGAGAGAATTAATGACTTAAAATGCTGTCTTGCTTCAAAAGCCTACCCTGGGAATTAACCTTTCGGCCAAAAGGATCATTATGTAACGCTGCTAACAGAGTGTATGCTCATTAAAATAATATTTTCTTTCTGATAACAGTAGAGGAGAGAATAAGAGTAAAAGAGTAATATTCAATTCAATATACACCGAACACAACCTCCAGTACCTTATTTATAGCCTAGTTCCCCTTTCGTATTTACTTAATTACCCCTAGTAATACTATTACCATATATCAATACTCCCCACAAGAAAAAGATCCTTGCCCTCAAGGATGAGTAAAAAAGCAGTAGGGGGGGGGGGAACTATTATAATAGAACTCTTGCTTGAGCGCTCTCTGTTCTTTTTTTTTTTTTTTTTAAATCATAATTGCTGATTTATAAAAGGAAAAGAAATTGGAAGTAAAATTAATGGGCATCAAAACTCAAGCCTCCTACGGTAGTCCTTTAGTCCAACTTGCTGCAATACTTAGTAGACTAGGAGCCCCATTAGCATAGTCCATTTAAGACCAAATGACACCTAATGCTGAAATTTTACAAATTGTAATCCAAAGGTGCTCCAGCCCATATATGTTTGAAGAGCAGACCTCATCTTAAGGTTGTCTCTTAACTATACCTATGTTGAGCCCATGATTTTTCTTGCTGCCACATGAAACACACAGCAGCCAAAGTGAAAGTAAAATTGAAAACCCGGACCCCTCCATATATGCAGCCGAAGAAGATTCCAAAAGCATGCACAAAGACCCAACCTCTCATGCCTCTTCAATAGATTTACCTGATCCATCTTCATCAGCATCCCTACTTGACCCAACCCCAACCCGATTCACCCTTGAAACGTTCTTGGCTCACACGGTTATTCCTCATTGGAGCTAAGGTTGAGCCTCCACTAGAGGTAGTGATAAGCAGCATTTGTCCTTATTCCAATGTTGACAAAGGCGTTCCCATTGGTAGCTTCTCCAGGTCCATAGATGTCAAGTAATGATTCAGCATCATGTGGAATTCCATGTTCCTGACATGAGAATGCGAACCGGAGAAGATGGATAGATTGTCAACAGCAAATATCATCATGTTAGTGAGGGTGACCAGCTTGAAGTACTTCACCTTCGTAGAAACCTTCATGTCAGCAGCATTGCTGGGGTTCTTGTTGATCGTATTAGAAGTGATAGTGATGCAGTAGCCTGGACTCAAGGTTGCGATCTTGGTTCTAGGCGCAAATCACATAGATAAGAGCCTAGTACTGCTCTTCCTTTCTTTAATGAATGAGATCTGGTTTGTGGACTTCAACAAATGTGAGGATGAGGTAGACAGAAGAGAAAATGTATTGAACACGGAAGGAGCACTGATTTGGACTTGTAAATGGGATTTATCCCCAAGCGATTGTAGAAGCAAGCCGGATTTAGGGTCCAAAATGGAAGAATCAGTAGCTCAAGCAGTGAATGAAGAAGCCGCTTGCAATGTCTTGTGAGTAGAGAAGGATGGACATGCATTCTCGAGCAAAGTGCGATTAGGTCGAAGGTGCAGTAGTGGGTGTGTCAATATGGATCATTGATCATAAGAACAGAGTATCCCATAGTGGCGGTGAAAACCATCGTTAACCATGTGACTTAGCAGAGGCTCTGGTTTTGACAATTCTCAATTCGTTGCTGTCTTCACTCCTGTCTTCTCATCATCTCATTTTTTCCTTCTTCATTAGCATCAGTTTCATCGACTAGAATCAAATCGTTCACGTTCGTAGCAACATCGTCACTTTCAGATGGCATGTTGTTGTTTGAATGAACTGCATTCAGCTTCAAATCCTCCGCAGCCTCTATTTGTAGAAGTGCATCATCGCTCGTGCCTTTAACAACAATGGTGAGATTAGAAATCTTGCCAGATGCTTCCTCTATTCCTTCAGGTACAGCATGATTCAGAATCTTGAACTCTTTTTGCTGGCCTATTCTGTATTCATTGTCAGGGTCTCGATTGTGTGGTCTATATCGATCTTGAAAATCAGCTATACACATCCCACTAGCAAGAGTGGTCGGAGTGTAGAAGGCAATAAACTCCTTGGATCTCTGGGGAAGTCTATTAATAAAGATGTCAATGGCTGTTGATTTTGATAAGTGTGTGCACGACAAAAGAGTTTTACTCTAATAGAGTTGTTTCTTGTTTTAGTTGGAGCAATGCAGTGATTGTTGGGAGGATTGACAGCGGCTAAAATGCTGGCTCTGATGCCATTGATAACAGTAGAAGAGAGAATAAGAATAGAAGAGTGATATTCAATTGAATAGACACCTAATACAACCTCCAATACCTAATTTATAGCCTACTACCCTTTTCCTATTTTCTTAATTACCCCTAGTACTACTATTACCATATATCACTTGCTCTGTTTTCTCATCCCCCTTTGACCATGCAAACACCACAAAGATATGTTGCGATAGAGTTCTGATCAATTGAGAGCTATAGTGGTTTTGCTGATTTTTAACTAGGAGGCAATCAGGCAAATAGCTTTGCTTAGCTTCAAATTTGCTGGGGAATTTTCTCTGAGGAGCTGTGATTGGCATAATTGTGTTCAAAACTGTGGTTCGGAAATCAGAGTATTTGGCTTGTGGAAACTTGTGTATTATTCTAGTATTCACAATGTATAAATAGATACAGGCTCTCAATGATGATAGAGAGATCAACGAGATTCTAGCCTGGGATTATGATACAATAGAAGCAGGAATATAATGTAAGAGAATCAGGACTAAAATCCCATGATTTTAGGCTCAGCTCAATGGGAAACAATCCTCTGAGATTTACCCTAAGTTACTTAGGGTAATCAGCCCATTGGCCCATTAGGTTTTTCACCAACAAAAACAACAAAAATGCATGGTACAATTCTTACTTTGCGTCCGGATTCCCTGCCTATCTCTGGTGATGGGGAGTCTGTATCTTCATCTTGCTTGTTTGATTGTGTTTGTATCTTCATCTTGCTTGTTTGATTGTTCAAGGGGTCCATGTCATTTATCAACTCAAGTGCATCCTAGCATTCGATTTGGATTTAATTTTACTACTTCAAGCACAACCCGTTCTTCATTCTTTCTCTTGCCCTGTTCTCTCCTTCCAACTCTCATTGCCCCTGATCCTTCGTTCCCTTGAAAATCTTACTATTGGGATAATTCTCCTCCTACTGGAAACAATACTTTGGGCCTTATGTACCTTTCACCTCACTCTGCTCCCAAAAGAAAATATAAAATTGTACGGCGATGTGATTACATAAGGTGGTAGTGAATTTCCATTTTTCTGGTATATTACTGTCATTTTCTTCCTTAAACTAGAACATTGCCTCTGTTCATCTTGGAAACATCATTTGATCTATTATTGTTGGTAGCTTTATATATTCTCCTCTAGGTAAACCATGCTTTGTGTATACAATGAAAGAGACTAAGAGAGATGACTGGAAGTGGAAATGTGATCCTAGAAAAGAACAGTTGACCTAAATTACTGCTGTACCCAAACCTAGGCAGCTACTTGTGTGGTAAGCTGCGCCCACCTTTATTATTTCTAGTTACATTTATGTGCGTGCAAAGAGAGTATAATTGGTGAGTCATCAAAACCTAGTCCGCTGTTTTGACCCAAAAAAGAAAAAAAAAGACCTAGTCCACTGCAGATCACTAGATCCTGGAAGAAGAGAATGGCAATGGAGGGAGAACAAGGAAGAAGGGGTTGTGGATGATGGAGAACACTGGAATTGTAATCATTGGCCAAGATTTGCTGAACTTGAAACAGTGGATGGCCCAGCTTGTTGGATGAATGGAATTGTCACAATGGCGAGATGCGCAGGCTGCCCATTGCAGGGTTGGACAGCCAATCCGGATGCCTTTACTATTTTCTTTTTTTCCTTCCTCACTTCAGTTGAAAGATTATTATTCATTCTGGCTAATGTTCGATGTGTCCAGGCTGAAGCTGCTAAGAATGCTTCCAAAACTGCAGAAAACGAAGTGAATGCTGTAACTTCTACTCAGAAATTATCTAAAGAGGTTAGATACTGAACTTTTTGCTGGCTAAAAAGGCCGTGTCTTTTGCAATTTTGATGCCTTGAAAATATCATGTTATGCTTTTATCAGATTCCCAGACTCTCCCATCTGAACACTATATATGTTAAAGTAATATGAATAAATGCACCAGTCAATTTCATCGCTTCTGCTTCATCTCAATTAGGAGGAACTGAGAAGAGCTCAGGCTGAAGAAAGAGAGAAGAGAGCTGGGGCTGCTGAGAGAAGACTTGCTGCCCTCAAGATTCAAGGCAGCAGTGCGACAACCGTCTTGAGCACTTCAGAACCAAAAGGTGGGGCAGCCGGTGACATATATTGTTCCTGTTGTAATATGTCACTTGCTGGTAAAGTTCCATTCCATAGGTATAATTATAAATACTGCAGCAGTTCATGCATGCATGTACACAGGGAGATCTTAGAGGATGGATGAGAGTGTTCTGTTAATATTAGTTTCATTTTGCAAGATTACTCCTGACCCATCATTGTTCTTAAAATATTGTGATTATGTTTGATGATGTGGTGCGGATGGGAAGAGTTGAGAATTGAGAGTAACTTTGAGCATTTGTCAAAAGGAACAAAATATGGTCGTCAGAATTTATCCTAATCAAGGAAGCATAGTAAAATATTCAGTGACGTTGCTCCACTTTTAACCGCATGGTGTTCTTTTGTCTTAAGCCCCCTGAAAAAAATTGGTGTTTCATGCTAGGCATGTGGATACACCAAGCTATAGCCTGTAACATAATCAAAACCCCGCCATGAGAAAATTCACACCCTTGATATTATATGTTCATTTTTTGTATTAAGTTTGCGGGTATCTTATTCACTGCAAGTCGGAACGATGATGTACATTCACCAATGTGGGTTTGGGGGTTGGGCAATCCAACTGTTTTTCTCATGCTACGGAAAATCAAGCCAGTTATTAAAACTTTCAAACTGAGAGGAAGCAGTACTTTCTAGGGAAAGGTACAATTTGGTCACCTTTCCTTTTTCCTTCTCTGTTTTCATTTTTATGACATGCATGTGTGACCCGCCAAAGGCCCGCACATAATTTTTTGTAGTTTTGTACACGGGAAAAAATTTGCGGGCATGGGCACGACCGCACGAGAGTCAATAAAATATATTTATATGGATTTGTTTAGTTTTCTTAAAAAACCTTTTTTTAAAAGCACTAGAATTTCATGGACGTGAAAAACAATTTGGTCCGCGACTATTTATTCTTATAATATCATTTTGTTGACACAAAACAGAATTTATGTAAACTGATGACTTGGATCGTACGTCTCGGAAACCTCGCTTGCAAGGAAAGATGTCATTTTGCGGATCGCCCTGAAGAAATGTTGTGGGTTTTCCGTCAAATTAATCAAATTCTTCAATTTTCATATCATTTGCCAATTTTGTTTTGATTAGCCAAAATTAATCTTGACATTAAGGTGCTGCTGGTTCACCCCCCCCCCCAATTTTCAGTATATTTGAATTATGCTGTGAGCATATTTGTGGAGTTATAAATACAAATTGAAAGTGGTTTCATGAGTTTGTGATGAGAAATTAATCAAAGGCATCAAATAGGTATGATGTTAATATTATTAAGAAAATAACGAACAAGCAGTCCACTTATAAATGTTTATTTTTGACAGGTAAGCATGAATGTTGAAAGAAAGAAAGGGATTGATGAGTGTGAACTCAAGTTGAGAAAGTTCACTATTGTGATAGGTATTTGATAACTTGAGCACAATGTCTAGCATGCATTTCCGCAGAAGACTTTGAACTGGGGGCATAACTGTTAAAATGAAGGTTTAGCATATTTGCCATTCAAGGAGAAAAAATTCTGCTTCTGTTGCTGAGTACAATGGTGCATTTATTAGTTCAACACTTCAATTTATATTAGATGACATTTGCCTTCTCTAGTGCTACAACACATCTTTTAGATGCCAAGGCACCATCATCAAGAAGTGAAATGGCTGTTTACACTTGCAACTATCACCTTTGTAACTTATCTCCCTTGTAACATCCGGAATTTTAGGTCTAGAAGTGTAAGAAATAGCTTAAAATGGACAAGCTACTAGATCCAAATTGGCAAGAGTCCTAGAAGTTTATTGAAAAAATAAGAACAATTCTTAGGGATCAAGTTGCAAAGAAAAAGTTTTTTGGGACCAAGAGATGAGGAAGTTAAAGGTTGTAGTGAAGCCTCAGGGCCAGAACAAAAAGAATGAGGATGAATATGAGCCAAAGGTTATGCTAGAAACCTTGAAGGGATGATTCTTGAGGCTAAACTCTAGCAAGGACCTAATTATAATTTGGAAAAGCTTTGGGCTGCAAAAGGTAACAATGAAAAGTATGTCCAAAAGTTTCAGAAAAATTCTAGAAAATTTTTAGAAAATGGGAAATAAGGTCCTGAGGCTCATATGAGATTAAAGATGACAAAATACCCCTGAAGCAAATTATGAAGCTCCCAGGGTTTTAGCTAATTATGGGTTATTTGCTGAAATTAGATTATTTAAAGCATCCAAAGACCTCAGAGGATTAGGAAAAATAAAGAATAAATAGTTGAGAAATTATTGTAGGTTTTAAAAAGGATTTTGTCCCTATAATACGTAGACGTTGGCTTTAATAGAATTTAAAGCTTATTTATACACTATTTGGGATAAGTCAAAATAAACTTCTTACATGTCAAAGTTTGGTTTGATAAAAAATAAAAATTATTTCCCATGACAAAAAGGAGTTAGTGGTACCCAAAGATAGACTCTCAGGGTTATGGACCAATAGAAAAAATTAGGTTAAGTTTACTCTAAAATAAATATTATTAAATGTTTAAAAGAGAGACAAGGGGAAAAGAATCTATCTTTATGTACATGCATATATAATGCCATGTGAAGTGTGATGAAAAAGTGCCAGAACATGTTCCAGTGTAATTAGGTAAGTCAGGACTAGGAAAAATACCCAATATGGAGTAAAATTGTAATATAAGTGGAGCAATAGTCAAGGGTAAGAGAGAGTACAAATTTCTCTCTATTTTCTCCACATTTTAATGTTAATTTGATGAAGGGACATAGAAGGAATTATATAGTTTGTTAAGGGCAAAATTGGAAAGGAATTTTTAGAGTTGACCAAAATTCTGGGGTTACCAAGTCAATAGTAGCTCAAGAAAGAAATTTTTAAGGTTTGATTTTCTAAGCTTTATGCCATGAAATATGGTTTCATTTGACATATTTTGGCTCTGTATATGGTTTTAAGTGAAGCCCAATGGTTGGACTAAACTTACTTAGAAGTCTTACCACAAAACAAATGTGGGATCTTGTGCACCTCATTGCATATATTAGACTTTCAACAATACTTGCATACTAGAGTTTTTCGTTTTTGTAGTTAATTTAGTTTTAGAATACATAACAAGACTCGAATTTGCATCTGAAGCGACTAAGGTATCAGTCACACCTTGACTTACAACTTTTATACATATCAAATCCTTAAGATGAAAAAATTTAAATTTCAAAATAACTGTTCTTGGGTTATTGGTCATTATAACCCTAAAGCTGGCCCGATACTAAAAAATCATAACTAAATTTAGAAAAGTCGAAAGGAGGTGATTCCAAGTTCTATTTGAAACTTTCTAAAATATCTTTAAGGAAACAAATACTTTCTAGTTGTGAATCCATCACAGGTGTGCCTAGTTTTCACACAGAGATGCACGATTATATGGTCAATTTTTTATTTTTCCAAAATTTATGCCTAATTTTAGATGGGTATAAATTTTTTGTATAAAACTCCAACTTTAATAAATTATCACTCATTTTGAAGCTAAAAGTGAGATATATTAAATGGCACTGCCAAGTTTTGTGGTCAAACTCTTCCATTTGTCCAAAATCACATGGACTCAAAATAGGCTCATTTTAGGTCAATTTTATCCCTTTTAAGTGTCATTCTTATGTAATTATACAATATCAACTCATATAATGCCTTTACCATATTGCACACCATATGGATTATTCTTTGTTTATGTTACACATCATAGAGTAGTCATTGAGTCATCAAAACATGTAATTATTACATCATTGTAAAACAACAATGGCATTCCAAATCAATTTAAATAATTCTATCAAACACCTTAATCTAAAACCCTAACTCTTTAACCTTTATTTTAGAGTTTTAGTATAATCTTTCTTAACATAACTTCCATAAGCTTTTTCAATATAATTTTTATGTAGAATCCATATATGAACTTAGATTTATCAAAATCCAATTCCTCCTTTTATTTTTCCTTTTGCCCAAGAGGTACCCTTTAGGGTTCCAAAATTTCATTTTCAATCTTAATGCTTCCAAATATATGTTTTTTTTGAAGTACGAAGGAGCGATTGAGAGTTTTCGGTTGTTCTACTAAGGCGCCAAGAGCCCGATTAAAATCTTGGGGAATAGTAAAACTCTCAAAGGTGCTATGAGAATTGGATGTAAGTCAAGTGGTTAAGACCAAACTAGTATAAATTTATTGTGTTCCTCTCTCTCTCCCCCCTACTCATTTGGTGATATCTTTCTAACTAAAACTTATTTCATTTACATTATTGTTTTTTGGGTTTAAAAATTTTTATATCATCCAATTCACCCTCTCTTAGGTGTACTGCCATTCTAACACCACAAATTACATAGAGAGCTTAGACCCCGTTTTCATCCATTCACTATAACGAACATTTTACTATGGCAAATTGTATAGAGTCGTCCCCTTGACTTAAGACACTTTGTTGCAATTAGCTACGCAGAAAAGAAACTGAATTTTTTAGAATGTTACAAAAGATGCTTTGGTGGAGCGAAGTGGGCACATTAGTTTTTATTTAGAGGCTCAAGACGATATTTGGAATTTATGGTTTGGATAGTAGAATCAATAGGTTCTTGACTAAAATTGAGCGGACAACAGTTGGGATTAAATTTTTTAAGGTTTATAAGCCTTGAAACACACAAGTCAGCTCAATTCTTTCATTTAAACCCAATTTTCTTCTTGGATTTCAAATTTGGGCGAGATTGTGTGGGTAGGGGTTGATGAATCTAAGATGGAATTTGGTTAGATTACGTACAAATAAGTTTGTCTGGATAAAGTTTTTTATCAGCTTATTTTGTAGGAGTTTAAGTTTAGTGAAGATTTAAGCGATAATTTGACGTTAGATTGAGGTTTTTGATAAATAAGATAACCTAACTATTTAATGTGTAGTTTGATGGTTGGGTTATTTTCATATGAGTTGGAATTAAGGTTTAATTAGTTTAACTTGTTGATTGAGCTTAAATTTCACATATGGGTATTTGGAGGTTGGAACCTTAAGTGATAAATTGAAAATTTTAATATATTAGAGTGACTAGAAGTTAATAAATAATTTAGATGAGTTAGTTGAACTATTGTGACACTAAATTTAGTGTTGGAATGATTGGTTCTAGCCTATAATGAGAAGTTTGGTTTCTAGAGGGTGCAGAGCCTACTTAACACCTCACGAGCACATGCTGATATATATGATGAGTTGGAATGTTAGTTACCAAGGTATTTGCATCATCCTCTTGCTTTTAATATCTTAAGGTGATAGTTCAATAGTGAGTCTATTAAGGAAAGCTTTAGAGGCATAGGTAATTTATTTGAATTGTATTGCCTCCTCTTTTGTTTTATTTGATAAATGTGATGTATATTGCTATGTCATATCCTGTTAATTATAACATAGAAAATGAGGAATTCAGGATTGACTAAGGGCCAAGCAATGTAGTAGAAACATAAATGAAACAACTTTTGAGGTAAAACCAAGGAAAGAAGTTGACCATCATTTTGAAAAGTTTTGATCAAGGAAAGGCTTTTGGGAAATTATGCTTGAAATTCCTAAAAATTCTTGAAAATCCATGAAAAATAGATAAAAGGTCTAGGATAGTGCTTGAGGATTGAAAGATAAAAATAGCATGAAAATAATTTATTTTGAAATTTTCTATAATTTCAGGAAATTTTGGCTAATTCAGAAAAAATTGGCCAAATTGAATTATTTAAAATATGTAGAGACCTCAATAATTCAGGAAAAAATAGAAACTTTATTTTAGAAGTTATTATGAATTTTAAAATTGTTCTTGGTCTATAGAGATGCATAGGTTAGCTTTAAAATATTTAAAGCCGAATTATATATGTAAAAGGCTTATTTTTGGAAAAAAAATCAATTGAAAGAGTTATAGGTCAAAATTAAATATGAGAAAATTAGAGGAACCACTTATCGTTAAAACGAAGCTATTGACGTAAAGAGAAAAATTCAATCGATATTGTGACAGTACACAGTATGATAGTCTTAGGCTTAGTGGGACAAAGTTTTTTTCAATTCTTTCTATAGAAAATGGTGCTAGGGGAGAGGATATGAATGGAATAATACATATTGTTAAAGGTTAAGCTTGAAAAAATGAAATTGTTGAGTAAAAAAGTGTTATTTTTCCACATTTGTGATAGGTGGCATAGGAGGTTTCCTATGAAGTGGCTTAGGAATTGAATAAGGAGGACATGGATTTGACCATATTTTTATTATTGAGTTATTTCTAAAGTTCTTGAAGTGTTTTTACACACTTTTTGGCTACCTTTGAGACAATTCTTATCACTATCCTTTTGTATTTAATTCATGCTTTTTTAAGTGTTTTTAATGACTCTTAGCTGATTTTCATCTAACTTGGATCATAAGGAACTAGATATTATAAGAAATTATGTTAATGTTATAGGTAAATAAAAGGATCTGGAGAACCAAAGAAGGAGTCAAAGAACCTTGAAAAGTACCATAGGGAGCTTAAAGTAAATAAGGATGTAGAAATCCAAGCTAAGAGAAGAACCTGAAGGATTCACCCTCACTGTGCACCATTGCCGCGGCACAAGATATGGCTTCACTGTGGCAAAGTCGTCAAGTTCTCAATAAC